TTGTCAGTTACTCTTACATAAATTAAGAAAAAATAATAAATTAGTTTCCATTATTCAATTTTAGGAGAATGAATATGTCAGTCAAACTTGAAGTATACCAGATATACACAGGAATATAGTGTATAAATCACTAAGAAACACTTTATTCCATCCAGTTATTCCTTCTCCAACTAAATCAAAACATTACTTTATGATCAACAGTTATTTAAAAATTTTTAACTTATGCAAACTTGAAATTGGTTTTCAAATGAGTTAAAATATTAATTTAATTAACAATTAAGAAATGTTATACTTACCTCCTCCATCTGATTGACTTGCCACTGAAACCACTTTTAAAAAAAAGGAACAGAAAAGAAATAGTTAATGACAAGTTAAATTTCTGCAGTAAAATAAATGTGTACATATATGTGTGTCTGTGTCTGTGAATTCTCATCTATCACATATCAGTTCCTGATCAAAATATCACTTAGAATTCAGAATGGAACTAATGCAACACACAACTGAATATAAAATGTTTAAATATATAGAGCTACAAATTTGGAAGTCCTTTTACTTCCTCAAAACTTAGAAACCTCTTCTTCATTTACATGTATTCCCACATTAAGTTTTAGTAGGCTCAAGCTGTATTATATTGAACGTACCTTAAAAAGAGATTCCAAAATCTGGAAAATAAAGTTTTAATTAATACATTTAAAATAGAATTCTTCAAAATGTATGACATGATATAATATTTAGTTCAAGTCTTTTGTAATTTTCAATCACAAAAGTGCACTAATTGTTAAAATATAACTTTATAAATCTACAGTCCAAAATCACAATACTTTTATATTTAGAGATAGTTTTTTCAGTTCATCTTGCATAGACAACTTAGTTCTAGAATAAAAAATAATTTTCTACCCTTATAGACCTCTATTAGGAGGCCCCCAAATAATTCATATAAATCATTTTACATATCTTCTCAAAATAGGTAAGAAATAAAATTTAAATTCAAAAAAATTATTCACCATGATCAAGTGGGTTTCATCCCAGGGATGCAAGGATGGGTCGACATATGCAAATCAATAAATTGATTCACCACATAAAGAGAATTGAAAACATAAATCATAGATCATCTCAATAGATGCAGAAAAAGTATTTGATAAAATCCAGCACCTTTTCATGATAAAAATCCTTAACAAATTAAGCAAAGAAGGAACGTATTTCAAAATAATAAAAGTTATACATGACACACCCACAGCCAACATCATACTGAATGGGGAAAAGTTGAAAGCATTCCCCCTAAGAACTGGAACAAGACAAGGATGCCCACTGTCACCACTTCCATTCAATATAGTATTGGAAGTTCTATGACTTCTCTTTCCAAGAGAAAAAAATAAAGGGCATCCAATTCAGGAAAGAGGAGGTCAAACTATCTCTATTTGCCAATGATAGGATCTTTTATCTAGGAAACCCTAAAGACTCCTCCCAAAAGACTCCCAGAATTGATAAATTCAGTAAAATCTCAGGTTGCAAAATTAATGTACACAAATCAGTAGTGTTTCTATACACTAATAACAGCCAAGCTGAGAATCAAATCAAGAACTCAGTCCCATTTACAATGGCTACCAAAAAAAAACACTTAGGAACATACTTAACCAAGAAGGTGAAAGATCTCCACAAGGAAAACTACAAAACACTGATGAAAAAAATCCTAGTAACACATACAAATGGAAAAATATCCCATGCTCATGGATTGGAAGAATCAATATTATTAAAATGTCCATACTGCCCAAAGTTATTCACAGATTAATGCAATTCTCATCAAAATATCAACGTCATTTTTCACAGAACTAGAAAAAAAAATCCCAAATTTCATATGGAATTAAAAAGAGCCC